CGATAGACACTGATAGACTGTTCTAGTTCAATCGAGAGCACGTCATGACGCACGTGCTAGACATCATTGTTCGATAACATATATCAGTCCACGAGAGCAATGACTGTTTCTATGGCCTTAAGGGAAGAGACGTAAAAAGATGTATATGTTGTAGTCAAAATTAAAATTCGGTAAAATTTAAACTTTGACCGATCCTCTGAACAAATTTAAAATTTGCTCAGAAAATTCATTCAAATTTAAAATTTGACTGGATTTTAATTTGGACCACAGCATATATATATATATATATATGCATATGCTGTGAGGCGCGTGTTTTTATAAATCGTACATCGTTCATTCAATATGCTCTCATTTTGGCCAAGCTTCTTACATTTCAGATAAATTCAACGTCACTCATTGCATTGTCTATCATTATTGCTCGTTTATTTCGAATTTCGTGCATATCGTTTTATTATCAACAGATTCAGGTATGAAGTATTTTAACGTCATCACCTTCTTAGTTTTATATAATCAATAATGATATGAGAAGAATTCAATTATTCAGAAGAAATATTGAACAGACAGTGTCAAAAGATGAGTTTTTAGACTTCTCATCTATATTGTTTTATAATGAAGACAACAAAAATTAATAGTTAGAAGTCTTTCCTTGAAATCAAAACAATTGAGTTATATTATTAGGAGTTACTCATAGTCTATGAAATTTCTTATATACTTGAGATTAGCTTAAATCGTCTTTCTGCTGTATCTAACCTTTGTTTACAAAACAGTTTCGTCGATAGTTTATTTTTCAACAGATGCTTAAAAATAATAATTCCTGAACAAGAATTTTTTTTTCTTAACCATTTGTTTTCAAAATGAAATAAGATTAATAATACAGATGATGTATATATAGCATTAAAAAGTTTTTCTTTTAGTGTTTCCCAATTTCAAATCAATATTAGTACAAGCTAAGATTCTTAATACTTAGAAATATAATTTCAAGTCGATTGCATTTATTCTTTTGCTGTATGTTCTTCGTTTTTCATATATATATTTTTTTTTTAGTTGTCAGAAATGAGTGAAAAATCATTAAAAATTCCCATAGAAATTCCAGGATGGGTCTCATTAGATTCTGATTCTATATTAAATGAGATGAAGGAAAAAGTACTTCTACAAATGATCGAACAAAATCATGTTGTTAATGAATCTGTCATAATAAACTCATGCAAAAATGCATTGTCTCGAGCACGGCATAAAAAAAAGACTGATAATCTTTTTATTATTTATATACCGCTAATTTTGATCAACAACAGTCTTTCTCATAGTCCGACTTCGAACTCTAACACCAATAAGAAACAGCTTAGTACTGAGGATGAAATGCATTTATTGTCGATGAAACACGCTTTAGAGGACTCTCCTAAAATCATGTTTGAATATATGGATGAAAAAGGTCTATTGATTGAAACCAATTTTGTCTATTTGAAAGATATTTTTTCAGAATTTTTATCACGTTCTTCAAAATGTAGAAAAATATGTGACTTTATTGATGATCTCTGTTCGTACTGCTTTGCCTCATCTGTCAAATTTTATATTAACATGTCCGAGTTGCGTCGTCAACTTTGTAGTCAGATCAGTTGTTTCATTCGAAAAGCGAAAAGACAAGCTGACACCAAACATATTTCAATTAATAAAATATTGATTGAGACGAACACTTTTATTTTTCATTCGAACGCTGTTGAACCAGTCAACAAAAGTAATGAGTTCTCATCTTTGAAATTTGATTCATATTCAAGTGTTAGTTCTTCCGATCGAATATTAATTGTTCGAGAGAACAATATTGTAAGCATTCAACTTGGAGTTGCCTGTGTGTATATAACCGTGAGTGAGTCATTTGCCATTCGAGCTCTTGAAGAGTTCGATCGTAGTGGACTTGTTGATGTTAATGAGATTATTGTCATCATACAAAGCTACTGTAGACAACGGCAACTCATACCAAATGTAATTAAAGGTGAAGAGACATTAAAGATTGCTATTTTGGAAAGACAAACAGTAGGTGTTCAATCGAAATTTTTCACCTGCGTCATTGAAGTCGACAATCAAAAATTATGTTCTCGAAATGAGACAAACTTTGATCTAGATGCTATAATAGGACCTGTCTATTCCACAAGAGGAACCAAGAGAAAAATACACCAAGTACCGTTTGATAGTGATATCAGTGAATCTGATGAATGCTTTAGAGACCAAGATGACCTTTGGCAATTGATTCCAAAGTCTTCTCAAAAGAAGAAGCAAAACCACGATGTAGTAGCTACTCAAAGAGAAGAATTTCTAAGAAAGTTTCTTCACATTAAGGATGAATATCATATTACAGATTCTGCAATTAAGGCCTTGCATAAATTTTTTAAAGAAACAAAGCAACCTTGTTGTTCGATGATAGAAATTCGACGAGTACGAGATAAAGCTAATAGAAAAATTCCTTTAAAATTTACAAATGATTCAGCATATGTCCCGTTCGATTTTGCTCTAAGAACTTCAGTCTTCGTTGCTTTGAAATTTCGAACAGATCTTTTACAGTTAAATCATCCCTGCTTTCGCCTGAATATGGATGGAACTCTTATAGGAAATAAGCACGTTGTTGCTATATCGGTAAATTGTGTTGACGGTGGATCATCATCTCAAATAGCTCAAAATCTAGTACCAGTAGGAATTTTCGAAATTCAGAAAGAATCAAATGAGCTTCTACGTAAAACATTACCTAAAGAGTTTCTTGAATTGATTCAGTCTATAAAACAATTAGGAGCCACTCGAACGAAATATATAACTGTAAAAATTCGTTTAGGTAGAGACTTTCAAAATGCAGTGTACGTATTTGGTTTAGCTGGTGTTCATAGTAATTATCCTTGTGTCTTCTGTACACGGAAAAAAGCTTCCCTTCACGTGACAGAAAGAAATACAGAATGTGAAGAGGAAGTATGGGTAGGCACAGGGACTAAGAGAAGTAAAAAGAAACAAAGAATCATTATGAATCCTACCTCCGGCTACGATTCGACTCTTGGAGCGAGAACTCTTAAACAAAAAACTGAATGTTTGGCAAAAAAAACAAAGACTGGCTTGAACAACGAGCTTGGCTATCAGTCTGAACCCCTTTTTGGCGATTTGTTTGAATTTAGCGATTATGTTATTGATTGTCTTCACATGCGATTGAGAATTTTCGACATCCTCTTAGGCGATATTCTTGCTGAAGCCTCACGAACAGGAGAATATGAACCCAAGCACACAAAAACATTAGAAGAAAACGTTACAGTTCTCAGTGAACACGCTAGTAACACCATAGGTAAACGATTTTTCTTCAAAATTGAAACAGAAAATAATGTTAAAACAATCACATCCTGTGGTCGTTTTTCAGGACATTTACAGGAACTTTTCTTTTCCAACTCATTTCCCTATGAGAAACTAATTCAAAATGAAAAAATTTGTAAAAATGTAAAAAAATCTGATCCCGACATTCAAATTGGTCATAGAGCTTGTCAAGACGAAGAAAGAAATGAGAACTAAAGTTTTAGCTGATGTTGCTAAGTCTTTCATGAAAGATTATCGTGAATCAGGCTTACGAACGGTATGTACACCGTATATGCACTTAATCGGAACTTACTTAGCTGAACAAGATCAGCATGAACATTTGCCTTCATATGACATGCAGGGTGTAGAAAAATCTAGTGATCTTCTTTCTCGTCTATATTTTTCATCGAGCAATAGAGCTAAAAAACCATTTACAACTATGATTCAAACGTTGTATTGTAGACTTGAAATGAACCTTGCAGATCCAAATGATCGAGTAGTTATGGGCCGATATGTTCGAACAGGAGCATTTAATGAAGCCGATATTGAAGAAGATGAATCTGCTAAAGAAAGTTTGAGTTCTTCTTTAAATCTAAATGAATCGAACGAATCTTCATCTGACACTACTGAAGATGAAGAGATAAACAGTAATCAAGAAAAGAAAGAATTTGATTCAGTGCCAACCTTTATGTCAAGAAATATTTTTCAAGTTAAGCCAAGAGAAAATCGTTGGAAGAGTTTTAAGAGGAGACATAATTAATTAACATAACATTTTGTATATCAACCATATACCCTCCATAATGGCCGGTATATGTCCATTGCGTTAAACAGTATTATTTACTCTTGTCGACCTCTTTTCTAGTAATCAAACAGTGTTTAATTGATATGTCCATCGATAGTATCCCAGTTCTCTATTACTTCATGCTGATAGATTTAGCCATAAGATATTATTAAAGATAAAACTAGTTCCGCTATCTTCTTTTAATGTAAAAAGGAAAAGCGTTGCACTATTTATCAGAAAATACAATTTTATTTTTCTTTCCAACAAGATGTCTATTTTTCTATTCTGAGTATAAATATAAAGATTATCTTCTTATTCTTATATTTTTTTACGTCAATATTTCTAAGTCTAACAGTTTTGAACTTTTATCTTTCCAGTTTCTCAAATGCATAACCAAGTTTGCTTCAAGAGCTTATACGAGTCGTGTGCTTGTCATCTTCAAACTCATTTAGCAATTAACATTCCCATAATCGATGCTCATTGTTACTTGGACGATTTCTTAAACAAAAACTCATTCTTTGAATCAATGTCATCCTCAAACATTAGAAAAATATTTATGATATCGAATAAACATAAATTTCAAAACTGAAACAAGATTTTTCCAGTGTCCTATACCAATATTCAGGTTTTTCAAACGTTTCGTATGCATCCAAAGTTTCTCGATGAACAGAACCTCTATCCACGACTTTCCAATCTTAAAAACATACTTTGTAACAGAGCATTCCCACTATCTGGCCGACCAATCGTTGGTGTCGGTGAGACTGGTTTTGACGAGACCAGTCCATTTCAAATTATACACCAGAAAATCGCATTTACTGAACAAGTACATCTTGCTCGTGATACAGGTCTTCCACTTATTCTTCATTGTCGTCGGTATTCCTTCTTTCGTTCCATGTTAGATTCTCTGATATCAATTCTACCCCCATCTCATCCAATCCAATGGCACTGTGTGAAATCAGACAGTGACCTTCAAGTGATAGATACCTTTATATCGACCTTTCACAATTCGGTTGTCTCTCTTAATGGAGCGAGCACCATAATTAGGGATATTGATCAAGATAAAACATATAAAAAATGGATAAGAAATCATCCATATTTACTCCAACATCTTGTGCTCGAAACAGACTGTCCTCGGCTTTGCCCTTCAGGCCTTTCGCTACAGGAATATAATTCCGCCACTGGCATTTTTATTACTTCTAAGTGGTTAGAGAACGTACTCCGCAGTCAAGGTAAAAATGCATCAAAAATCATTTCTATTGCAAATGACAACGCAAGAAAAGTCTTCTAATTTTAACCCCTTCAAAAGCAGGCCCTCAATATTTAATCTACTGCTATGTACACAAAAATGATAATAATTGTAAACAATGTAGATATATTGTAAAAAAAAAGAAAAAACACATGAAAAACTTTTCTTGACATATCTTCCTTTAGGCCAAATGTCAGAAAAGTAAAAAAAAACTCTTAAACACTACTTTATTTTTTTTATTCATCTTCCTACTCATTGGTCTTCATCATTGACTTTCGTTCAATTATATCTCAATCAAAACATATTTCTATGTATTAATAAAAACTTGATTACAAATGATGTCAGGTATAAAAATAGATGTTATTTTTTATGTTTATTCTGCTCTTGCTAATTTTGTTATGCATGTACATATAAATTATATTTTTTTTCTTTTTTTATTATTTATCAGCACTCAATTGAATATTTGTTCATTTATAAATATCGAACGAAAACTAACTGGTCTTGGTTCGTTTTGTTTTATTGTCACAAGATTTAACATAAATCAAGTTCAATTGGATTGTATGTTTATTTTTCTATGATCTGAGTTTTATTTTACACGAAGATACTTAAAAGATTGGTAAATTTATTGACTAACGTATCATGAAACTTAACTAATAAGAAAAAAAAACATTAAGCATAAACATAATTTTTTTTATTTATTTTAGTCTTACAACTTCAATATTTATTATTCAAATTCGATTAAATTTCGGAAATATCGATAAAGGACATTCTATTTTATTTTGTTCTATGATATGTGTCAATCATCGTTTTTCTTAGTAAGCTAACTTTGTTTGAAAAAAAAAGAACTATTTATGTTATATTTAGTTACACCAACTGGAATATAATAAGAAATATTTCTTATGAGCATAATAATTAATTACATCTTCATCAATTTGTATAATATAGTTGTGCTGATATATAAAAAAAAATAAAGAACAACAACTTTTGTCAATAAATCACGAACAATATTTAATTATTTTTCATAGTAAATAAAATTAAACATTTTTATATATCTAACTTTAAACCTTATATTATTTTCAGTTGATTTATTCTCTGGTTTTATCATAAGACCTTTCATGTACAATCTAGAGTTACATTTAACGACTCTTGTAAACGAATATATAAAAAGATACAACTGAACAAATCGAAATTTTATTTTGTTTCTTGGTGAACGAATCTATGATGATGTGCTTATGTTTATATGTACCAATTTAATGAATGATCAATATCTGTCATCGATCTTGTAATACATGTTTTGTATTCATGTATCTTTTTTTGTTTCAATAGACTGATTTTCTCTATTTTGTAAATATCTTAATCAATAAAACTATTCAATACAATTGAAATTATTGAAACACCTGAATAATAATAAATAATTTTTCATTCTGTAAATCAGTAACATCTTTCTGTTGATAAAGACATAATTAAATACAAAAGAAGAATCTGTATGACTAACACAATATAAGTATAACATGAAAAATAAAGTTTTCTATTTTTTTAAATTTTTATGTTTATATACGAGAATATTTTGAATAGATGATTTACAAGTGAAGAGATAAAACCGCTCATAAGATCATTGTTATGTTGATAAACATAATGCTTACTCTTTACCACAAGTAAAAAAAAATTTCAAAACATCTTCGCCTATTTAATCAGTAACTTTTCTTAGTGTTTTATATAAACGAAATTTGTATGTGAATTTATGTATACATATTTTTGTTAGCCATTATTTACTTGTTGTAGAGGTGTTACTCAAAATTTTATACATATAAAGGTAAGAAGAAGTTAAACAAAATACTGTTTTGATTAAAAATTAATTTATAGTATTTTTCTGCTGGTTTCTATTAATATATGAAACAGAAAAAAGAAACATTACACTTTTCCTTTAAGAAAGACGCCTATCAACAGTTATGGAATATGCTATTCCACATAATTGAGTTTTTTTTATTTTAAATTTTCAAATTAATATTCAATTTAAGACTATTAATTTGTTTTACAATAGAAATAAGTGTGATTCACAAACTACAGGATGTTCCAAAAGTCTGGCGGAAAAATTAATTCAAATATCTCTTATATAACTCAAGCGATTTAATTGATTTTTTTTACAATGTGTTAGTATGTTCTTTGAAGTTTTGTTGCATATAATTTAGTTTACAGCAAATGTTCAAAATAATTTCCATCAACTGAAATAAATAAATCCATCGTTTTCGAAATCTTTAAAAAAATATTGCAGGAAGTTTATTTTCGAATTAATTTCTTTTCTTTATCGTTTCTTATTTTGAATTCAATCAAATCTTTATATATGTCCCAGGCAAAATTAAACTTAGGTAAAATTAGTTTTAGTAGGCGCGAAAAAGGAAAATTTTTTTATGGATTGTTGATCTGACTATCAATAGAAAAAAATAATTATTCGTTTACATAAACTGTAAATAAAAAAGCAGAACATTCATTTTCACATATGTAATCGTATCATAAGTACAGTGATGACTTCTCATTCAACATCAGAAATTGAATCTCGAAAACAATTTTATGAACAAGCAAGTAAACATCTTTAATCTTTCAATAGCAGATTTAGAGAAAAGATTGTACTCATGCAAGGCATGAATGAAAAGATTATTCTTCGTCGCCTTACGAATAAGTCTTCAACAGATTTCGATTAATGTTTTACATCTTGGTGCTGCATTTTTGTTGTACAAAATACTGACTTGAAAACTTTACTACGCGATGCAAAAATTGATTAACCGATGCTACTATTTGAAGCGATGAAGAATGTTTAGAAATATAATCATGTTGAAACCGTAGCTTCTCAAACGAAATACTTTTTCGAATAATATACAGCTACTTGATGATTAAGTAGCTAATTGTTTTGTAACAACCTTTCGTTTGCAGCAGTACTTCATGTCACAATTTAAACATTATGATAACTTTTTAAAAGAGCTTAGTTGGAAAAACAATATATACACCTATTATATGATTAAAGTATCTAATTGACTTCTAACAAAATTTCGTGTTGGACTTCTTTTTATAATCAGCAATTGAAGGTCTACCGCTGCATAAAAATCATTGTACTTATTTAAACATTTTCATACATATCTTAATTGATTTGATAACTTATTACAAGCAGGTAAAAGAATTCAATTCTTAAAATGATCCTTGTTCGAAATAAAACGATTAGAGTGAATGAGTACCTGAGTATTTATTAAAAAAACTACGCTTATTTCTTTAACGTTGTTAGAAATTAAAAGGTTATTAGTTGACGAATTTTCTTTTTTTTTTCGGCCCTTGCTCGAAATAGATCAGTTACAATAAATGGCTGGCTGAGTAATCATAGAACAGCTATGGTTATTTCATCAATATTATTAGAGATCAAAAGGGTATTAGTTGACGAATTTTTGTCATTTTTGGTCCTTGCTCGAAATATATCAGTTAGAAGACAGGAGTAGCTGAATATTTCATTAAACAGCTACACTTTTTTCTCCAGTATCATAAGAGATTAAAAAGTTATTCGTTGACAAATTTTCTTTTTTTTCCCCACACGACTAATGCGTGATGCGATAAATGTCTAGATAGTTTATCGATGAACTATAAGAAGTATAATCGATGTCCTTTAAAAATCTTTATAATACTTTGTCTTTCATGTCGAAAAAGAAAATATTACAAAAACCAATATTATCAATATTGCCAACAAGTTCGT